GGATAGGAACTATATCAAATTTCTAAGTTGATCAGCAACAATATCCTTCAAAATATACCGCAATTAGATCCAATAGCACCATTCTAGGTTCGATGACCTTATCATATCTAACATAATCACTCTAGTGACATGCCACTTCAATTCAATCTAAGGCCACAACCCGTGCAATCCGTGCACTAGTAAGCAACAAACCACATGTACTCAAATCATAGAAAATGACTCAAACGAGAGAACTGTCCCGCAAGCTTAACAAGTACTGCCCCAATAAAATGATGAAAATACATCACACACCGTAGGACCATCACACGAATCTAACACAAATGTTCGTGCCTCAACATAACCCCGCTGCAATGCGTGACCTCATCCAAACACTGGTCCATGTCATATACCTCAAGCCACCTTGCTCAAAATTAATAATCACGCGCAATTCGACATCAAGTTCCCAAAATGCATTACCATAACCACGGAGGAGAAAATGACGCAATGCCACACAAGCCCGGAAGAACATAACCAATGCGCAATCATCATGCAACACCCAAATACCTATCTCACTCAAATTCCTCTATAAAGCCCAAATAGAATCGCACTATATGTGCATATAACCAACGAATCACAACTCCCCGTAGCATAGAAGAGTAACTCACAGATCATTTCAGCACACAAATAAGCTCAACAATAACCTAATAGCACATCCCTCAACAATAGCAGTATGGATCCAACCAATCCGATGCGGTGTAGGATACACATCCTAATTGGGCCTACCAATGGACCCCTAAATCAACTCTGGTCATCCACAAATAGATAAATAACTCTCCGAAAATCCACAATGACCCAACCATGAGACATTCCATCCTCTGACTAGCTTTGGCCACAACTTCACAGTCCCCCCAACACGAAACAATCTGTTCTTGCGAACTCCCAGTCTCCAAATCCATAGAACACACAAATCACCATATATGATCCCAACTCCACCGCCCAAATGTCTAACACATCTCCCATACACGATCATCCCACGAGGAATACTTCTATAATTCTTTTGTGCCATAAAGCAAGATTTGAATATCAACAGTCAAATCGACTAAGAGGGTGCCGCGATACCAATAAAGTATCCATAAATCAAAACATAATGCCCCTTTTGAAATGTACACTCCCGTCATGCAATATCAAATAGTAATATAATTTATTTAGTCATTTAAGATCGTCCATGCTGCCTAAGAATTCATGTCCTTCTCTCCAAAACTGACCCGTGACCTTACATATACAAATCCCAATTCCACACAACACACCGCATATACCATGCCATCATATGAAAATACAAGAACTTTATAATCCACTCCGAGTTACAAGCAACTACGTACTCAATTAGCTAAGAAATTTTCATTTGATTTCATCCAGAGAAAATCACTATACATCACATGCTCCTCATGCCGGTATGAAATATACTTCTCGAGCAGTCCTAGAAACCATTGAGAACTCTTCGAAACTCATTTACACCTAGTCAATGTCATGCCCTCTTTTTCCCCTCCGCGGAGAGAATGTCCGGGTTTCGACATTACATGGGGGTAGTAACTCATTTCCTTTTGGGAATTAGGTATTTGAAGAGTTTCCACCTAACGGATTAAGGTGCGTTTGGGCACCTATAGCAATTAACTCTTGGATTGGTTTGCATTACCAGAGATTTAGGGTAAGGGCTCGAAATAACCTTGAGGGAAAGGTGTTAGGCACCCCTCTCGGTCCACAACTGTGGGTCCCGTCCGAGCTTATACTTATGAATTAGTCCTTCAACGAACAAGTACTTGAAATGAATAATTACAGAAAAAGCACGTTGTACATTATGACGCAAGCAATAAGACAAAGGATTTGAACAGGTTGTGTACATATAAAACAAAGTTTTAAACAAAAGGAATTTGGGAAAGGAGGGGTCCTAGGTTGGTTAGCCTACATGATCACCCCACACAATGTCCGGTAAACACTCCTCAATGAGGGGCTACATGTGACATTAGCATGTAGTCATCATATCCCATATTTACCCTTCCCACCCCTTAGCGGTTGTTAAAGCGAGTGTTGGTTAGCGATCTCTACCGCGTGCTGTTACCCGTCCCTTCTTAATAGTCCTGGAGGAAATTAGTACCTCTACCTATAGGCAGTTCTAGACATACCCCTAAGGTTTAAAAGAGAAAATACTAAGGCGACAAGCAAGAACACATATGACTCTTAGTGAATAAAAGCAGAAAGGAGCAAATAAGAGGCTCAGTTTTACCTCCACAAATAGGGCATATAACAACACGACTCAAACACAAATAAGGGTCATATTATTAAACAGGATCCTAAGGCATGATGTCTAAGTGAATATAAAAAATATAGAAGATAGACAGTTTATTTTATAAACCCAGAAGCAGGGGCCCTAATCAGTTCGCCTACTGATTTTAAAGCCTATTAATCATTACGCAATAAACACAAGGAGGCAGTTGCCATCTTATAGGAGTTGAATACCTAAGGCTTGCCTAGGCGTAGGATAATGCACAATAGTTACAGAGTCATTAGAACAATGGAGGATTTCTTTTACCTAAAAAGCATACTGTTCTAAGTGTTATAAAATACAGGAATTATTACCAGTTTATTTAAAATAGGATAATCAAATGTGGAGCTGTTTTTATATCTTTCGTAATCAGTAGTTTACACTAGGTGTTACTGAGCAAGTACAAATGAGATCCTAAAGCATGGTATCTAATATGCACGTATAAATGCAGAATGATTACAGGATACGCGGAATTCCTAAAACATGATTTCTATTATGTAGAATTTCCTAACGCAGGATTTCTAAATGCATAAAATGGTTACAACATTGTAAAACATGCAGTCAAATGTGTAGGAGTAGCAATTTTGTTTTAATGCCTAGAAATAGGATTTCTAAGTGATAGCAAGAATGTCGAAACGAGATGCTGAAAGCAGTGTACCTGAAACCTAGGAGCATGGTATCTAATGCATGATATGCTTTGCATGTATTGGTCCTAAACATGAGTTCTAATGCACATACATGAGAATATAAACCTAAAGCATGTTTTCTACCCATTGATATTGAATACATATATGACTACCCCCCCTTTTCACCATCTAACCCCAATATTCATTTACAAATTATTACAGGCCAATATCGAATAAATTACATAAGTAGGTAAGTAAAATAAGAAGTTACTCTATAGAGAACCAACAAATCGGCCCAGATTTCCAAAGTTTCCAATGCCAGATTGCCTCATAGCCTTTCACATAATCCGGGTGTGTTTGAGTTCCCTAAGGACCTCAAGGGATCCTAGGTAGTGCTCACACCTAGATTTCATAGTCATAGTTGAGTAAGTGCAGTGTGGAAGGGCCAAATCTAATATATCAGAGTTCAGAGGGGTCTCATAGGGATCCCTAAGCAGTCACACATTAGAGGGGCAGAACTTAAAACCTAAGAGTAGATGTGAAAGTGCTTGAAAAGATTTCAGCAACGAACCAGTTTGAAAAGGGAGTTATTTGAAATAGTTTTGCAAAAGACAACAGAGACAATTTTGGAAAGAGAATAGAGTAATAAGCAACAGTCCAAACACAGCACCCAAAATAGGTTCATGCACAACCAAAGAACATGGAACCAAGGCAGGTTCAGCAACCGCAAACATGGGTAAATGGATTTAGGGGACACGTAGGTTATATAGGTAAATACATAGTTACAAGAGCATAACAGTTCTTATGGGGGGTTTATGGGATTAGGGAATAGTTAGTGATACCAACACAATATGGATTTCAAAAACAATCATAGAATCAGACATGCAAACTGGATAACAAGTAGACAAGTATTCAAAACATGGTAGAATCATATTGAAACAGACTACCAGGGGAGTAGAACATGTTCTGAGATGACCTAAGAGGGTTAGACTAGTATTCTAGATGAAGCAATAACGTAAACATGTCAATTACATATTGAACAACAGAACCATCGATAGAAACAAATCAGAAACATGATAAACTAAAGCAGTAAAAAAAAAGTTGGTTTTGAGACTTGAATTGAAATTAGAACATACCAGTAAAGAGATGGTAAACACAAAGTGAAGAATAGGAGAGCACAATAATTAGCCTTGGCTTGCAGCCGGCTAACCCAGAATAAGAGCAAGTAGCTAAGGAAAGAGAGAAGAAAAGTTTGGAGTGTAAGAGTTTGAACTAATGTGTTCGTGTATTATTTTAATGAAAGAGCAAGGTACTTATAGTTTGAAAACAGGTAGAAAATAAGGCGAGAATCATAGTTCAGGAATAGTTATGGAACTACGTAGTAATTAGAATTAAATCAGTGTAAGTACTTCCCTTTAATTAAGGAGTTAAATAAAAAATAAGGAAATAAGTCAATGTACGACCAACAAGGACAGACTTCGAATACAGTAGGTACAGGGTAAACAATTAAGGCTAAGTTTATAAGGTTTTAATTAAGGAAATAGCATAAGAATCAATCAACAACATAGTCAATCGCGCAATAAGGCAAGAGAATGATTTAAAGGTCGAAAATCAGTTAGGGTATCAATCACAGGAAATCAGTAAAAGGTATTAATCACAGGAGATCAGGGATTTAACTAGAAATAGTACTGATTAGAGGAAATTACCACAAATTTTCGTCAACGAACTAAGTAAACACAATATAGGCGGGAGAGGTAAAATCAGAAACCCTAACGAGTATAAGGAGGTAGAAAATCATAGAAGCTCCAAACATATGAATGAGAAACAAGTATACATACAAATCAGAAAAGCAAAGACATTTTCAGAACCCCAGATTAAAACCAAAATAATTAGGGTTTTCAACATGATGAATCAGATAAAAGGAAAAACTTAAATAAACTGCTTAAACATGGTAGAAATCATAGAATAATACTGAAAATCAGAGGGAAAGTCATTTGAAAAGGGGTTTACTTAAGGGGGTGATGTCGGAATAAACGTTTTTAAAATAGGGCGAAAGTGTTTAATTTTCGAACTTTGGGATCCAAAACGGTATTTACTCAGTGAGTATGCTCTTTTGCGCTTCTCCCTCATCGGAAACAGAAGAATTTCTTTTGCCCGTTAAAAACCCTAGCGTAAGAGCAAGCATTGTCCCTTCGGGGACATCCGATAAAATTGGAACGATACAGAGAAGATTAGCATGGCCCCTGCGCAAGGATGACACGCACAAATCGAGAAATGGTCCAAATTTTTTTGCCTCCTTGTCGCCGGTGATGCTCCGGTACCGAGTTACGGTTCGTAAACTATTTGAAGTTTTCCTCCTCTTTTATTTTCTGTTTCCCTATATTTAGCTGGCGGTGTTATGACTGTAATTTTTGGGATGAAAAGTGCTTAGAATAGCGCTATTTGAAGCAATTGTACTTGAATTTATGCATTTGCTAACTTTACAATGGTTATATTTTGTTCTAAAAGGAAGAAATTTGCTTGTTTTGTTTTGTTTTGCTCCTGTAATATTTGCAGCTTGCAATAAACGAGCGTACTGAAAGTTTGAAGCTTAATACCGCGTGTGCTTTTTGGGTGTTTGATAAAATGCCGGAAGTTTTTCAACACAGGCATAACATTTTGAATTTTCCCATCTTCAATTGTCTATTAAATGAAAAGAGCGGGCCAATTTTAGAACGAAGCTTCCAGATAAATAGTTTTCTTATAGTTTTGATGCTAAAAGTATTAGGTTGAGATTGAAAGAGAAGTTCACCTCATAAAAAGCTGGATATTAGGTAATCAATTTTCTGTCCTGAGCTTCAATGAATCTTCTTTCATAAGCGAAAGTGATTATTGATAACACTTGAAAGTTTTATACTATTAACTGTTAGGGTGACATTTGAGGAAAGTGATTGGATTTATTTGAATTTGTTATTCCAGTATGATTATGTTATGTTAGACATATTCCAAAGACGTTAGTTTGATTTCTGGGACTCTATATATTCTGTTGAAGTGACTTTGGATGTGATTATAATCTAGCAGCATGTGGCAGTTGGTGTTTGAGGAGGTATTTGCAACATATGGAGTAGCAAAATCCATGTTATATTCCTAAGAAGAGCTCTGCTTATGACCCCCTAAGGACTTTAACAGCAAGAGTTTGGATTGAAGGATCATTCAACTGCTAAGGATTAATAATACCCTCTTCTACCTGAAACTTTGCATGAAAGTAAAATTTGAGATCAGAAAATAAGATCTGAGCAGATCTAGTGGAGTTACAATATTCTATATTTCTATTTGATCGGGAATTTTAATTATACATAATTTTTTCCTTCCAAGGAAACCATCAGTCTATGTTTCCATATGCTGATCTCTATCTCAATCAAAATATTAGAAGCAAGTTACCTGGCGTCTCCTCTCATGGTTTACCCTTTGTCATATAAGGTTACTCAAGTCCAACTGAAACCATTTAAGTCAAATTGCTTACAACTTGAAGCGGCATCTGTTTCATCATGCATGTTTAGGTCCAGTTTAGGTGCAAAGTAAGACAACTTATACTCTTGTGAAGACTTCTGCCTCTCTGGCATTGAATCGCCTCTGTTGGCTGCCTGGTGAAAAAGTCTGACAGCTGTGTCTGTTCCATTGAATTTCCCATCTGAATGGTTACTGCTTCCGTTCAACTTTCCATCTTGAAGTCCGATACTCATTGATAAGTCCTTGCAGTTAGTCTCTGTGGTGAATGTTTTTTCTTTACCCTCGTTCATTGCAGAGAATAATTTTTTGCTCTCCTTGAGGTTGTCACACCATCTTAGTGCTGTCTGTTGTATCCTGGTGTCATTCTCAATATCCTCACATTCTATAGATGGTGTAAATTCGAAAGGCCTCAATCCAATTTGGTTATTATGCATAGTGTTGTCCCTCAAAGAGCCTTCACAAGAGGTCAAGCAGCTATCGATTGAACGATCTGCTAGTCGGGTAGCTTGTGTTTGTTGGTTGCTATATCTTGATAGTTCCTTTATATCAGAAAATGTAGGGTTCAGGCATTGGTTAGATACTGTGGATACCAATTCTGATAGTTGGACCTTTGCTGCCTCTAATCCTACTGTTCCCATGTCTTGTCTTCCAAGGGTTTCCTGTGCTTTCTCAAGCACGGCATGCAAATATTTTCCTTGAGCTTCTATCCGTAACTGTAAATGTCGTTGTACCTATATCAGTTCAGTTAGGCCTCATTTAGAAGGCGTCAAGGAAAATTTTTCTTCGAATTTTAAAGTTTGAAAAGAAAAAACACCCTATGCATGTCTAGATTAGATTCTTAATTCTTGAAACAGAACACATGGACTAGGCCTGTTAACTAGATTATTGAAGATATCAAGTTTCTTATCTTGAAGGTGAAAGTGCCTTCTATCATGTTTCAATACTCTCATGCTTCCGGCTTTCGGATCATCAACCAGGAAGTCTCAAATTTTACTACAAGTATTTTTGGCATAGGCTTTGCTCTCACTTCTCATACGTAAGAGAAATTCTGCAGTAATTTCATACCTCAAGCTGCTCATGAAGCCTTCTCTGCACTTCTATTTGGATTTGTATTGCTTCACTTATTTGAATGTTTCTGAATGGATAACTTTTTGTCAGAATAATCAAAACTGAAGACTTTGCTGAGACATGAAATAGAAGGATGAATGGTTTAAATGAAGGATCAAACGATGTTTGTTCTTACTTGTTTGGTTGGGGTCCGATGCTTGGATTACTCATGCAAGTTGCACTATTCTCAGATATCCTATCTTCTCCTGTTGCTGCAACTATTCCACAAACTCAGTAAGTTTTCGGATGTTCTCTCTCTGTAAAAGAAGTTTTGTGAACTATTTTCTTGGGTATGTATTTGATTTCTTACCAGCTTTATTAGCCCCACTAGCATTTGCTTGTCCATGGAGATTCTTACTTAGTCTGTATTTCTGCCAGCATTTTTGTAAAGCGTTAGTTTCTGGCCAATCTAAAAGGATCAAAATATTGTCAGAAATATTCTTCAGTCTTATGGATGTAAAGAAAAACAAAGGGCTATATTTCTCTGTATTTTTGCCAGCCCAGGTACAAAGTTTTGATTAGTTTTCCTTCACACTATAAAAGTACATATATGGAAGCTGCACTTTAATATTTTAAATGAAACAATTTGAAAATTCTTTGCAGTTGATGCAAAAGATGCTTTTCCCCTCTTACCACCAGTTGTTTTTTTTGGAACTATTGCCTTGGTAGCTAAACTTCAACGCTGATTATGCCCCTCATAAAATGTCTTGTTTATTGCATGGATTTTGTAATGCCATGAAGCAAATGAGAACTAACCTGAAGATGGCTCTTTAAGTGGTACAAGGTTAATCCTTGGATCCCCATAAGCTTTAGAACTGATTTTGGCGTGGCTTCTGCAGCAGAAGAATATTGCAGTTAATTATCTTCACGAAATAACATCTTCCTGGTGCATCTTGAAATTGGTATATTTTTGTGCACTTACTGTCTGCTCCACCAAGTTGATTAACGGCTTCTATAAACCTCTCATGGAGGTCTGGTGTCCATTTCAATCTTGGCTTGGCATCTGTTGACAGGACAAGCCCTGAGTCCCCGTTGCCATTTCCACCTTGCAGGAACAGATGTCTTTCAGAGATAGACATTCTTGTTGAAGGGTGCATGCTCTTATCCTGGCGGTGATGATGGTACATCTTCTGGCCTTCTGTATGATTATTAGCAATTAAGTTTTGTGGTGCGAGTTAATAGGCACGATATAAGTAATTTAACTAATTATAATGTACCTGAAAGTGATCTGCTGTACTTGGTTTCAGTCTAGTCTTACCCTTTAGATGCAAATCATGATTCTTCTGTATTATTCTTCAGAGAACAATTCTGCTTCTGATACTCAGTTCAAGAAAACTGTACTACGGCTCTTATCTATCTCCTTAGTTGTACAACTTCACAGACCAAAGATGTTTCCAAAGAGCTCTTATAAGAGAATGGGGTGAGAAAGAGAGAGGGAGTCTAGGTGAAGTATAGAATCTTGGACAGGGCCAGTTGAACGCTAGAACCAATCGAATCTTCACAGCCGGCTCAAAAAGAGATCTCATCCTTCCAGTTTTACATATTTGTGGGCCCTAGCATGTTATTCCTCTGCACTATAACTTGCTTGAAACACTTCACACCTTACAATGGGTACAAGAATTTATCCGCCAGAGACTTTTATGTTCTCATATTCTTTATCTGGCAAAGTTTGGGAACCATATTCCCAGAATTAAATTTGGAATTTTTTTTCTGATATTGACTGAAAGTATCCACTATCTAATGATGTATGATCTCTTGAAAACTTCAAAACCGTTTCCCTTTCAAAGGGAAGATTCTGTTGACCAGAGCTTCAAGTACTTTGTATTGGATAAAAAAACAAAGCAAAGAGATAGGGAAATGGTTGAGAGATGCTTCTATTATTTCATGTCAAAATAAAAAGACTAATACATTTCTCTCTATAAACCTCTGTTAGTTTACTATGGCCATGTAAAGAATTAGTTGAGGCAGCATTTCCTATATGCATTTTTATTCTATTACATCGACTATACTCTGCCTTGGGTAAAAAGAAGTTAATGATTTTAGATGAGACTTTCATGCAATATCTTGCTCCTTTGTTTAGTGATATGAACTTTTGGAATATCTTGAGCATTATTTTCAGTCTATGCTATTTTAACATATCATGTTTGAGTAACTAAAAAGGAATACGATAAAAAGGTAAAAGGAAATTGTGGAGAGATGCTTCTCCTTGGCTTTGTTTGAAGGCCAGGAATATTGGAATAAGGATCAAATACCTTTTTGTCTCCTTCAGTAAGTTTGGTACTTATTCGGCCTGCATATATAGAACTAAAATAGAGGGAGACCTCCAGTACGTTAGATATTTCCTATTCTTTAATTGGTGTAAGACAGCCATCTCCAAGGCATTGGGACCCCTTTGAAAGGAGAAATAAAGTGATATTACTTGCTTCCGTAGTCGCTTGATGGAAAACATGTCAACTCATTTGCTCGAAGATGACTACTTGTCTTTCCCTTGACTTGAGCCTTAATTTGCTCTAGAGAATATAATAGTTACTTTACATTCTTTTGTGCCCGTTTAATTTTTAATAAACATGTATAGATACCTGTCAGTTTTCCTGTCATAGTTTATTGTCAGACACAAACTTGAGATCTCAATTTTTCGCCTTGCTAATTCAATTTCTAGTTCACTTCTAAAAACTAATAACACCATAGATTTCCCTTTTTTTTTTTTTTTGTGGAGGGAAAACTAGGGAATTTAAACTTAGTTGTTTATGAAGGGCTTCGTCTCTTTTGCACCTTTTCCTTGTTAACATTGCAATGATACATCTAATCTGCTGTATTTTTGTATTGGTCAGCAAGTTGAACAAATCACGATTGCATAGTTAGGAAATGACTCTTGGGGTCAAAAAGATATCTTTTGGATAAATCTCAGGGGTTTGCAGGACTGTTTGTTATCTAAGGTTAATTATTTTCTATCTTGATATCAAATAAGTGAAAATTCCTCATCTCTGAACAAGGTATACACATCAGTTGTCAGTTGAACTTTCAAGAAAAAGATCAACTGATTCTGATATCTTAGGGTATTTTATGCGCTTTGGAGGAATATATTACAACCTTTAGGTAAAGTGGTATAGGTATAAAGCAGAGTTCCCTTATACTGTTTTGCTGGCATGTGGATAGGAATGAAATGAGGATGTGCATTGTTAGCTGTATGAGTTGCATTGGACTATTATATTGTACTAAAATCAATAAATTTATGGAGTTAATTTTTTTTGGTTAGGTTCAACCATATGATATCCGGAACCCATTAGCTCATCTAATCCAAATGTGCGTAGCAGAGACCCATTTAAGGGAGAAGCGTTCCCTACCGGAAATTTCTTCAATCCCAGGTTTGAACTCGAGACCTCTTGTTAGTATTTATCTGACCTAACTGTCTTGTTATAGTGTTGTTCATCTCACCATACTGTCTTTAACAATTCTTTGTCTTTTTATTTTTTATTTTTTTTGTCATTCTCAGTTTCCCTTCTGTTATGGTAAAGTAGATTTTCTAATTGATGATGTGCAAGATCTAATAGTTGCTTTACGTTGCTATACCAAACTGAATAATATTTCATCGTTTTATTTTACAGAAAGGTATTTGGCTGAGCACGAAACTTAAGATATTAGTTTAACTTATATGTATGATGTTAGTGATGATGGAAGCAATACTAAAAGATATAAGTTGATAAGCTAGTTTTTTATTTTTTTTAAATGCAAAAAAAGAAGAGAACATTAAAATGGAGTAACTTAATTTATTTGAATTTTTGAAAGCTGTGAATTTTATAGAAATGGAAGGATAACAAACATTTCAAAACATTTTAAATTTCTTTTTTTTTAAATAAAAAAGTATAAAAGTGAAACAGAAGAAGTATAAACATGCAATAGCAATCGTTTTATGTCTCTCTGAATAACCCAAATACTCTTTTCTATTAATGGTACACTAAAAGTACTTAATTTGCTTTTCCTTGATGTTGCCAAAAAGCAATGACTGCTGTTCCTCTGTTTTGTAAGACATGCAGAAGAACCCTTTGCCTTTGCTATTCCAATCTATCTTCTTCTTCCTCGTCTCTTTTGTTGCTTTCTTTATTCTATTTTCATGATATATATTCTCCACTTTAATGAAGAGAACATGTGCTGTTGTTCTTTCTTGTACTTGCATTTCCTTTTTAAAGCTCTTAGATTGAGTTAATTTTACTTTGAAGTACAAGATGAATCTCACATTTAAAAAAAAAAATTAAAGAAAAAGAAAGAGCATTTCGAATCAACTTAGGGGCTATGGTGGAAGAGTTAGTCAATGCCTGATCTGTAACGCACGCAGAATTTTGTGTGAGCAATGCCGACTTATTATCATCTCAACTTATATTTGAGTCAGGATTTGGAGTTGTAGTTGTTTTAAGAATTTACTCATTGTCCCAAATTAATGTTTGATCTATAATATATACACATAATTTTCAATATTTATGTGTTTGAATTTTTTCGACGAAGCGGTGTCAGATAACACTCTCGTACAAGGGTATCTCTGCCACTGTGCATTATTAATAAAGACACGCACATTTCTAATTGGTGCCTGCTTGTTGACCCCAGGGTGAAGACACTGGCTCAAAATAAAAGGAAATCAATGACCACGGAATGATATTCCTTATGGGGAAAAGGACTTGGGGTTTAAGATAAAAGTCAGATTCTGAGGAATGGAATTTCAGAATCTTAACTCAAAACCAAAGCAATGGACGTATTCTCAAGTCAAGAATTTCTTCGTTATTCTTTTCCTTTTCTAGGCCACGGAAAATGGATTCCGAACCCCATTATTGTTTTACCCTTTTAAGCTTCTTAACAACTTTAGTAATTCTGAACGATCAACATGCATATTTGTGTTCTTATCAACATGCGTATGATTTATGTTCTTTCTCAATAGAATTTAAGTTGTATATATTGTTAGTTTAACTTCTTTTTTAACCCTAACAGGTCACTCAAAGAATATCCATAGGTAAGTCTAAAATACAACAACAACAACGACCTAGTAAAATCCCACAAGTGGGTCTGGGGAGGGTAGTGTGTACACAAATTCTTACCTCTACCCCGAGGGAGTAGAGAGGTTGTTTCTGATAAATCCTCGACTCAAGAAGACGAAAAAAGATAATATATCAGTACAGTCAACAAAAACTATAGAAATAATGACATCATAAGAAATAAATGAAAAACAAAAACATTAACCAGTAATAGGTAAGTCTAAAATGTGGAATTTATAATCTTGAAAATAAGATAGGTTTTTTACTGCCTCTTCGAAATTACATTGCAGCCGTGAACATGTATGACATCATAGACAAAAACTAAGACACATTAAGATGTAATGACAGAACTTATTTTTCTGGGGTGGGGTGGGGGGATTTAATATAGCCCCAAAATCCGAAAATAAAAATAAAATAAACAATAAAAAGAGCAAAAAGAAAAAGGAAACAAAGATGCATACCATCAGCCGGACGTTATTTATAGATAAATTTTCATAAAGCACTATCTTTTAGTAGTAATTAGCCATCTATAGATACCATTTGCTATATTATAGATTATAGATATCTTTTATGTGGTTATAAGATGTATTTGATGTATTTAAGCTATTGTATTCATGAATACAGTAGCAAAAATAGGCGTGAATCAGGGAAGTCCAGCTAATCAGTTGTTGTATTCGAGTGTATTCGACTGTATTCATGGAGTGAAACATGGGATTACAACTGGACAGGTTACTGTATTCGACTGTATTCACGGCGTAAAATAGGGGATTACACTGTTTTTAAAACGGAAAGTGAATCAATTAACATAATAGACTCCTAATATAACTCAACAAACTCAATTATAACACACAAATTTTGTATTTTCAGTTATAAAAAATATTCTCAACTGAAAAATACCCCAAAAACATAGCAATCTTCAAAGAAATTATATAATACATCTGAATACATAGATTATATTAATTAAAAAAAACATGAATACATTCATGGCATATAGCGAGATAGTGAATACAATGAAATACATAGAATACAGCGGGATATATTGAAATACAATGAGAAAAAAAGACAGTGAATACAATAAAATACATGGAATACAACGAGATACATTGAATTACAATGGAAAAAAAGACAATGAATACAATGAAATACATGGAAATACAGTGTGATACGTTGAAAATACATTGAAATATATTAACAGAAATCAAGTTGTTCAGCCCCAAAATCAATCGTCTTTGTTCAAAAATAAGCCCTAATTTCCGATGAATCCGGCATCGAGCAAAAACCCCGAATCTCAAAGTTCCCACGCTGTCATCGATCGGAGGCTTCATCTCCTTTGGATTTGCCCCCATGGCATTGGAGAGTTCAGTACCCGAAATCCCATAGAGATTGAATTTGAATGACGAAATTGATTTGTGGGGTCTGATTTTGAATGACGAATTGAAAGCTTAAACAAACGAACGAAAGAAGACACTTAAACTATTAGGATCGAAAGAAAGAAGACACTTAAAGACTCCAAACACACAAAACAGTGATAAACAAACGAAACAAGTAAACTATTAGGATCGAAACAATACAGATTTTTAAATGGGAGGGGGAAGAGAATAGGATGTATCAAAGTAGAGAGAGAGAAAATAGTGTAACTGATTAGCGTATTTAGTGGCTTAGGACTAGGAAGTAACCAAAATTAAATATTTTGCTATAAACCTTAAAATGTATCTATAGAATATAATTTTTTTAAATAGTATTTATTTAAAATAAATAAGGTGTTAACCTTTGCTATAGAAGGTAAAAATTCCTTATTTATAACGAAGAATAGAGGCGGAGCACGAGGCAGAATATGTTTTAAGTTAGAACCTAGTGAAAATGAACAAAAAGAAATATAATTGTTTACCCTTAAAATTGGATAACAATTAAACTTATAAATAGGTTTTAAGAATATGTGATTTCACTTGGTACAAACGGAGAAATATGAGAATTAATGTTAGAAATTAATTGTAAAATAAAGCAAACCAATATAATGAGTGGTTATGGCCCTCGAGCTAGATCGCCCTCGAACCAACTGAGTATGCTAATGAAAAGTATGAAATGAACAACAGAGCTTAAGAGAGAAAATGTAATGTATTGCTTTGTTATGCGTGAGTATCATGATTACAAAATGATTAGAACCCCATTTATATAGTTGAGGAATTCCACTTATGCTACAATTCTAAATATAGAAGCAAATCTCATGATTGGCTAAATAACCGGTCTTGACTTGATACGTGCCGAGATTTTCGCCACGATCCTTACCCGATCACGGATATCTCGGCTTTCTGTTATTCGACTTAGATGACTTCCTCCGGTTTCGCTCGATCTCTATCCTGCTTCGGTCTCGATCACAGTTGGTTTTGATCTTGATGTGTCATTAGTTCATGAGCTTAGCAATCTATCTCTGTGCCATGGTCCGATAAGAATTGAAGCTGATCCCTGACTTATCGTGCTCCAGCCTCGATCAGTTTCACAAAAAGGGCAAGCCCGATTTTGACCGTATACAGATAGTCCCCTCGTTTCTTAGAGATTAACGACAAGAAACGACCTGATCTTTTCCAATCCCATCTATATAGGTCATGACGTAAGCGACGAGCCCGATCATTACATCGACGACAAGTGGGCACTGAAACGTCCCATCGGTTCAGATGTCGAGGCATTAAATGCCTGTCAGTCGTTGTCGGCCACTACCGGTTCTGAACTATCGTCTTCAACCTATAAATGTATCTTCCTTCTTTTGCCCAAACTTTACCTTCAAATCTTCTTCAAAATTTGTTGCCTCCCAAAAGCTCAAAACTTTCAGTTCTTTGGTGTTTCTTTGCCTCTTACATCACAAAATACTCGCAAATAGGACTGAGCATATATCGGGTAAAACCGATAACCCGAACCGTTAATTGTTTATTGGGTTATCGATATCGGATTATTGGGTTAACGGTTCGGTAACAGTTTAGAATTTTTTTACTATTAGGTTATCGGTTCGGGCCTCGGTTTTCCAAATTTGTTAATGGGTTAACCGATAACCCAATAAGAATTAATAAAATTATGACTTTACCCTTAAGTATATACATATGCTAGGGCTTCAGTTCATTCTCTTCTATTCTTTCTCAGCTGCACTCTTCAGTTGCTTAATCTTCATTCTTCATGACCTTACTAGTTACTCCTAGCATAAGTCTTTAGTCTTATACATTAGGCTTTTAATTTCTATGACAAAATTCATCTTCATATTGGTATTTTTGATTGTTAATGATTCTTTTTTTTATTTTCGTTTCTTATTTTGTGAGCTCACGTTGTGCAGCCTATACCTACTACCAATTTCTCTTCGCACTAATCAATTCTCAATCAACAATCTTCGTCAGTTTTGGGTATATTTTTGAACATTATTCTTCTGTATAGTGCGCTGAGCTTTGACAACATGACAATATTTCTTGCCTTCTAGGTGTTTTTCATTTCTGTGTTAGTATTGCCCATGCACAGATCAAGATTTTGCTCTATGGTTTCATTTTTCAAGTTAGGCATTTAACAAAAAACATCCAGTTTATCTTGGACTGTTAGTACTATATGTTTGGACTTGTTAATTTTAAGGTGAAATTGCTACTACTTTGTATTATTATTAATGTATTTTGACAACTGTTGTTGAAGAATTAGTACTATTCCAGTTGTGGCCACTGGACAGTGTCACATCTCCTTTTTCCGCACCCGCTAGGGGGCGCAGGGGAGTTTTTTCCAATTAAAGGACAATCGAAACGGGATTTGCTTATTTATTTCAGAGTCGCCACTTGGGAGGTTTAGGGTGTCCCAAGTCACCAATTTTAATCCCGAATCGAGGAAAATAATGACTCTATATTACAGTCTGCGTACCAGAAATCCGGATAAGGAATTCTGTTAACCCGGGAGAAGGTGTTAGGCATTCCCGAGTTCCGTGGTTCTAGCACGGTCGCTCAACTGTTATATTCGGCTTGATTATCTGATTTTTATACAAGTGTGAACTTGTGTGCAAAATTTGACTCTTAACCGTTTTTATCATTTACTGTTTTTATCAGAAATTGCAATGTTGTGAAAATGTATCTCGAACCGCGTTACAATCAACGTACCCGTGGTCGTCGACACACTTTG